ATTTTTTTTTGGTTTTTCTCCGGTACCGGGAACCGAACTCACGACCTTGCGCTTGCCAGGCAGGCGCTTTTGCCGCTGAGCTAAATCCCCAGCCCCCGCTTTGGGCAATATTGTCATATTAACAGTATTAAATTTTCCAATCCAGGAACACGAAATGTCTTTTTATTTATTTAGGTCTTTTTAAATTTCTGTCACCAATATCCAAGTATTTTGCCTCCTAAATTTAATGCTAATGCTATTCTCTTCATATTATTGCAATGAGATTGATTTCTTAATTAATTTTCAGATTGTGTATAATGACCATCATAAACGTGATTCCAACACATTGAAATATTCCTTCAATCTGAACTTTTGTGGTCAAATGATATTTTTAAAATTTAATTTGCTTGTTGCTACCACATAGAAATAAAAATCAATATTTATAAGGTGAACTTGTGTCCTAAGACTTTGTTATATTCCCTTATTAATTCTCGACAGTTATAATTCTCTTCAGTCTGTGTAGCTAGTATTTCATTTTTAGCTTTATTGCCCCAGTGAAGTGATTTTCAATGAATGTTGATAGAAGGGTTGATAGTGGACATCTTGACATGTTCTCCGCCTCAATGTGAAACTTCTAATATTTCATTATTATGTATGTTATTAGCTGTTGGTTTTTTGAAATACCCTTTGTTAGGTTGAGAAAGTTCCCTCATGTTCCTAGTGTGCTGAAAGTTTGTATCATGAAGAGGTATTGAATTTGGCCAAATGCTGTCCCTGAATCTTTTGAGATGATTATATGACATTTTTCTGTTAATTCTGATAATGTGATGAATTATTTTAACCGATCAATACTGAAGTAATAAAATAACTTTGCATTCCTTGGAAAAATTCTACATTCCAGCCCATATTATAATATCCTTTTTTAAAAGTCCCAAGTTCAATTTGCAAATATTTTGTTAAAGATTTTTATGTCTATCTTCATGGGCAATACTGGTCTGTGGTTTTTCTTTTTCTTTTTTTTTCCCTTATAATATCTTTGGTTTTGGTTTGGTGGTTTGTATTAATCAGCTTTCCATTATTATAACAAATACTTGAGACAACTTCTAAAGAAAAAAGGTTTAGTTTGGTTCACAGTCTGGGAGCTTATAGCTCAGACTTGATGAACCCACGGCATTGTGCCACAGTGGACTGTTTGTATCATTCAGAGCTCTAAAAGGTTTGCTATCACTGTTCTATCCCATGATTGATTATTCCTTTTGCTTTAGGATCTGTGGCAAGGTGGTAGATAATTATCTATAGCATGGCAGACATACATGGTGGAGCAGACCTGCTTAACTTGAGGAGCAAAACAGGAGAAGATGAAGGGCTTAGAGTTCCACTGTCCTCTTCAAGGGAACACCTCAAATGACCTAAAGACTTCTCATAAGTCCCCACATTTTAAAGGTTCCACCACTTTCCAACAGTGCCAAGGTGGGACCAACTGTCTTGGTTGCTTTTCTCTCATTGCTGAGACAAAATACCCAACTCCCAAAATGAAGGAAGGAAAGGTTTATTTAGCTTACAGTTTGTGGAGGTTTCAGTCCATACTTGGCTGGCTCTGAGGCAGAAGATAACAAAACAACAAGAGCAAGGGGGAATGGCAGCCGAACAGCAAACAGCCAGAGCAAACCGGAGGAA